CTCTCATCAGCAGCAAGTATTCAAAATCCTTGTGAGATGTCAAAACAGCTCCCTGAAGTAGGTCCCCCCCTCCTCAGAACCAAATGGAGCCCCAAGCCAGCCTGGAAACCGACCTAGAGCCACAGACTTTCAAGTGAACTAGAATGTTGTCTAGAACTTGATCTAGAACTTTCAAGCGAGCTAGAACATGATTTAGAACCCTGAAGTCAACTAGAACCAACAAGCAAGCTAGAAACATGATATAGAAACATCCCTTGGGCTAAAGGCCCTGAGGAGGGAAAGCCTTGGGATGTCTCAAATGGCTCGGCTGTAGAAAGGCAACCAGCAATCGTCCTATTCCTTGCTGATAAGAAGAAGCCAAGAACGCACCAAAGGCTTTACTCCACTCACTAGCCAAAGACAAACTTTTGCTTCGCAAGGTTGTCACCCCTAGCTTGAAGGTGCTAACAAGGTGTTCAAGAGATGTGTAGATGTGGTGCTTTGGGACATGGTTTAGTGGGTTAGGTGGTGTTGGGCTGATGGTTGGACGTGATGATCCTTGAGGTCTTTTCCAACCTTGATGATCCTTGAGGTCTTTTCCAACCTTCATGATTCGATGATTCTATGCCTCCGTAGGATGCTCAAAAAAAAAAAAAAAAAAAAAGCAGTGCAAGAGGTATTTGGGTAAGTCAAGATGGACCATATACTTGACCAATTTTGCACACTTTTACTTTCTTGGCTTACCTGGAAACATACAGCATTCTTCTGAGAAAGCCTTGTTCATCCTCTCTGCTTGCTGGGAGAACCCACTCCCTGCTCCCTAAACACCAGCGCCGAGATCTCACCGATCTCTATACGGACAGAAACAGGACATTGCTGTGGGCGTCAGAAAATCTCTTAACTTATTTCAGGAGAAAAGAGAATAAAGGCAATAACCCCTCTGTTTGCAACTGCTCCCCTGCGGAGCGGGAAATAGCCCAGATAGCCTGACGCTGTGTCCATGGGCTCGACAGGAGCCCCAGCAACAAGAGGGTGCTGCCGCAGCACCAACCTCATCCAGACTCCACGCACCCCTTGCAGGGTGGCATAAAACAGCCAAGTACATGCAACCTGGGAAAACAGAGCAGCTCGCTCTTCTGGGCTGTCAGGGAGCATCCTTAAAGCCCCATTAATAGGACATTAAACAGGGATGTTATCCTCTGTCTGCCTCCCAGGCTGCAGCAGACTTCCAAATATTGGGAGGTTTATGCATGTAACTAAACAAGTGTAAATATTTCTCAGTTAATCACTGGAACACTGAATCTACAGATGGGAGGGGAGTCCCCATCACTTGATGCTTTCAGGTCAAGATTCCAGCTTGATTTAGATCAAAGGGAAGTTCTGGACCTTCGAAGAAATTCTTATGTAGGGCTCTCTCTGTGTCATAACAGAAATCACATCAGAAGTCATAACAATGTCTTCTGTCCATGATTAGTAATCAATTTCTGGACACTTAGATATTACAAGAGGGAACAGTGACATTGGTTAAATTTCCAAAGAGTAATTTGGGATTTACTTGTTGAGGTCGACATGAGTCACATTGCAAATTCTGACAATGGTGCTAGACAGCAGGCTTCCAGAAGTGAAAAATCCAACGCCACGCCTTGCCAACAAACAACAAAAAATCTTGAAAAAACAAAACCAAACAAATAAACTAAGCAGTCCACTTTATGCTCCAGCCATCAGGAACTGTTAGTCATCAGCGATGGGGATGCAGAGAGGGCACATGGCATTGCTTCAAAACCTCTCTTTACGCAAAGCGAATAAAAAGCCGCCAAGACTCTGCTTCCCCCAGAGCGTCACAGACAGCAGATCTCCCCGGTCTGAAGAGATGAGAAATGGGGAATTTCTGAAAGGGAAAGAAAGAAACACACCATTCTGATGGCCTGGAAATCTAGGGGATCCTCCAAGCTATATCTGGAACAGACAGTGCATAAAACACACAATGTTCCTTTCTCTGAAAGCAATGAGACACCAGGAAGGAAAAAAAAAAAAAAAAAAGTAAAAACACGCTCACGTAAGAAAAGCTACACACCTAGGCAGCCCCTTTAATAAGAAGCACGGGATGCTGTCCGGCTCCAGAGGATGGGACCACTGGAGTGATCCCAGCCCAAGCCCTGTGGGGTCGGGTCAGCGCAGCTTGTCCAGGACAGACCTGTCCCCGTGCCATGCTGCGGAGGAGAAGCAGAAATGCAATTCCACTGTCCTGCTGAGGATTTCCTGAGAACACACAGCTCTTAGAAGTTTGTGGGAGGTGGGGTAAAAGTGCCTGAAGGGCTTTTGAGTAACAGGCTTTCCTTCCTGAAACGACCTTCTTGGCAAACGTGAAAGCTGTTTCCTAAAGGTTTAGAAATACACCCACGCCCCCCCCGGGCACTCTTTAGGAAAAGGTGCTTTCTTCATTCATGCAGCCGGTTCGTAGTACTGCCGAGTCAATGTGTTTCCACAGCAGTAAGCACGAGTGAGTCAGATCGAAACTGCACCGTCAAGATCTCTGACACGGCAAAGGAAACACAGGTAAACACAGCCGAGTATCAGCCGTGCGCAGGACAGAGTTTCCTTTGTGGAATGGACACAGCTGGCTTACGCTCATGTAAAAATAAAAAAAAAAGTACAAACCAGGTTCCAAAACAGGGAGGAGGGAATTGCACAAGAATTGCAAACTGCTCTGCATGCTCCGGGTGTCAAACTGCAATGACTTCATGGAGACCTGCACATTGCTCAAAATAAGAGAAGTTTGGCTCAGCTCCTGGGCAGGAAGGAGGGAGGCTCCCGGCCCCGCGCCAGCTCCCGCCAGTGATGGAGGAGGTTCCCACATGCCCAAAGACCCTTCGCTTTGCATCCCACAAAAATACCAGCACCTGAACCTGGCGCTGGGGCTGAGAGTGACCCCCCTGCTGCAGGGGACCCGATGTGCAGGGAGGTGCCTGGGGCCGCATCCTTCACCGGAGGGAGCAGGTCTAGTGCTGGGCTCTGGTCCAGGGTCAGGCTGCCCACGGACCCTCACCAGGGCACCGGCTCCCAGCAGCATCGCACCCACGGACCTGACCACATCCCTTTCAACACCCTGATGCAATTTAAGGAGCTACCCAGGTCTTGACAGTGAAGCTTTACCGACCTGTGGCAGATTTGAGTTAACCCAAAATAAGCAAAAAATGTCCCAGGGTGGGATCCAAGGAGAGAAGCAGAGAAAGGCGGGATCCCGCCAGGGAAAGGGGCTGAGTTCAGAACTGCTGGGTTCTGGCTGAGCCATCCCCTGCTCGCTCTTCGCCTTTCTCAGAGCTGCTGCTGCAGGCGGTCAAGGGCAGAAACCGCACGGCCGCGTTAGAGCAGGGGAAGAGAAATGGGTCACCCAATTCATGACACACGCCGTGATTCAGATACTGCAGTGAGCTGCAGTGATTCACCGGGAGCAGGCTTCCTCATCGCCTCTGGAAGGGGCAACACCAACAACAAAAGGAAAACAAACCGGGACACAAAATCCCACGTTGTCCCCACCTCAACCCCTCCAGTTACTGACGTTTCATCAGCTTTACTCTTACTCATACATACGTACACCAAACATTCCTCCTTTTGCTCCTAAAAAGAAAATTATAAAAATATATGGTAACATATTATACTTTGCATTTCTCCAGCTTTTTTTTTTTTTTTTGGCAAAAAGTTCCTTCACAGAGGTTTGCAAATTCAACTTAAAAAGAAATTCAGTGCAGAGAAGAAAATGAGAGGTGAAGTGGTTTGTCCGAAGTGGTGTACTGGAGGCAGGCTGGGAAGAATGCGCTATTCCAAAAGAACACGGGAGCTTTCAAAGAAAACCCTCTGATTTCAGAAAGGCCAAATTCATCTCCACTTTCTCTTTCCTGGATAACAGGCTCCCAAACTAGTCAGCGAAGTCTTTATCACAAGGAAGCAGGGGTGTGTGTGCTAATATATATAGAAAGAGAGCATGAAAGAGAGGAAAGCAGAAAACAAGGGAGATATCGGAGGAGTTATCTTCAGCTCTGCAATGGTCATTTTATCAGAGCTGGGACAATACGTCCCCGATAGCACAGCACACCCCGGTCCTAGAGCCAGCACTGGGTTTCTTGGATGGGGCTAGTCTCCATTTCTAGGAAATGAAAGAGGATTAAAGAGCCAGAAACACAAATATTCCTGACCTGCTGATAGACTTTAACGCCACACACCAATGTTGAGATACTGAGGGATCCAAGCAGCAACGTGTCCCCACCAGGCTGGGCTCCTCCACCGCATCCCAGCACATCCCAGGATTAATCCCGTTAGCACTCGGGCACAACACCAGCTGGGCTTTGGGAGCACAGTCTTTGAGGTTGCTGAAGGCAGTGAAAATTCGCATCGACTTCAGCAGACACATGTGTTAACTGACAAAAAAAATAAAAGTTGAGATTTCAGATTGTTGTGTGTGTTTGCAGTAGAGCATTAGAACACCAGGGAAAGTGACAGTGTATTTGTGCAGGTTCATTAAGAGCCAGGCTGCTGGGATCCTCAGTGCAGGCTTGATGTGGAGCTTTAAAAATAGAAACACCTTTTTTCCCCTAACAATAGGGCATTCATCTAAAAATAAAAAGTAACTGTGAGAATGCAGAAGTAAGCTCACACAGCACCTTTTCTTCTTTGCGTTGCATCTGAAGCTTTCCTCTTTAGCCACATTTAAATTTACAAGAAGCAAGCAATGAAAAAAAAAATGCAGAGTCTAAGCACAAAAGATTTGATGGGGTGTGAGGAGAGGAGGGGGGTCAAGAGAACAGGAAACCCAAGTTGACGGGAAACTCAAGTGACATTTGGTTTTAATGAATGACTTAAAACCCCAATATTGCTCGCCAGGAAATGGGGAGAGGAAATTGAGCGATGTTTTGAGAGTATAAATTAGGGGCTCCATCAAGGTGAAGGCTGCAGATTGGCTCCTAACCCTCCTGTGAAATTCACCCGAGAGCTGGCCCAGGAGCCAAGCAGCTCATTGTCCCAGCATGCGACCCTGCCCAGCCCTGCTGCTGCTGCTGCTGCCTGCCTGCGCCCTGCCTGCCCGCGCCGAGCCCGCCTGCCTGCACTTCCCGCAGCTCCTGCCTGCAAAGCTCAGAGAGCTGAGGACCAAGTTCGAGGAAATTAAGGATTATTTTGTAAGTATAATCCTGCTGCTTGCTTGCCTATTTTTTTTTCTTTTTTTTTTTTCTTTTTTTTTTTAAGTTCAATGGTTTGGATGAGGGGGAAGAGAGCTTCCTCCCGGCAGAAATGATGCGGTGGTTCTGGTGCTATGGGGTGAGCAAGAGAAGTTCGGTTTCATCGCTTGCTGAAAGACAACACGCAAGAGTTTTCTTCCTAGTTTTAGTTACAATGAACTCAAGAGATTTCATAATGAATCTCTGTGAACCTTCCAGACATCCCCCTAAGTGCTGCAGAGCAAATTATTCACCCAATTCATAGGAAGGAAATAGTCTCTTCTTCAGGGCAAGGAGGTCCAGCCTCGCTGAAATCAAGGCTAGATGGAAAGGGAAATCTTTTGCTACAGACTTTTTATTTGAAAGAACCACAAAGGCCTGAACACGGTATTTTACAACTGGAGAAGCGCTGCAGTAACCAGCACTTGCCGTGGAGCCTGTAAAAGGTCGCGGCTTCGCATCGGTGCTAACGGAGCATCAGGGGTGCTGAGAAAGCAGGACAAGATATGCTCAGAGCATTCGTCACTGCATCAGCACTGATAGAGAGGGTTGGTCACATCTGTGTTACTATTTTACTTAGAGTCAGTGTGTTTTAGCAATAAAACAATATTCTCCAGATTAAATCTCCAGCTAATGCCATGGCTTGTATTTGTTATCAAATGAATACAGCCAAGACTTTAGATTTAAACCATGCTGTAAATCTCCCACTTAATGTTGGGAAGGAATATTTTTAACTTTTCAGGAAAACTTTGGCACCAGGGCTGATGCTGTGAGTGGTCCAGGCCACCCCACTGCAGAGCTGATGGTGCAACAGGGGCACCCCAAGAATGAACACCCCCTGCAGAGCCCCCAGACACCCCCTGCAGAGCCCTTTCCCCCTGCTGACTGGAGACTTAGAGATAACAAAACTGGGAGGATTCAACCCTCCCGCCCGGCGAGCCTGGGGCGATACCTCGCTTGGGGGGTGCCGTGGCTCTGACCCCTCTCTGGGGAGCGGTTTGCATCAGCGCTCTCAGAAACACCCTCTGCAGCCAAGGGAGCATGCTGGCAGCGGAGGGAGGAGTTTCACAGTCCTGAAATCGGTGGTGCTGAAGTTTCTGATTTTGTTCTCTTGCTGCCCTGACCTAACAGTAGTCACACGGTGAGATCACGGACCAGAGAAGCGGTGACTCCCATGCCCGGCGTTACGGTGCCATGCACACGAGTGTGCTCTTTGCCTTTGCTTCTGAGAGACCAGAAATGCAGAGAAGCAGAAGGATCTTTTGGTAGGGCAAAGGGAAAAAGCGTTGGCTGCCTAAGTAAAGCTCGTGTTTCTATTGCATCCTTCTACAGCAATCGAAAGATGATGAACTCAGCATCCAGTTGCTCAGCTCCGAACTGCTGGAAGAATTTAAGGTAAAAATTATAATTCTCATTTAAATCCCTTATCCTTTGGCCAGTACTTTGTAAGAAAGGAAGCAGATCATAAACTGGGGCATTTCCTAATGCCACGTGAGGACAGCTCTCCAGCCAAGCAGAAACACGTGTGTCTGCGGCAGGGCTGACACACAGTCACCCCCCCACGGCACCCGCAGCCAGCGAGCACCCTGACCACCACCATGATTTTGATTTTTTTTTAAAAAACACCCACACACCTCGGTGCTGGCGGCTGGTCCCAATACAGTTCCCTGTGCCCCCCCCCCCAGGGGAGCTTCGGGTGCCAGTCGGTGTCGGAGATGATGCGGTTCTACACGGAGGAGGTCCTGCCCGGAGCCATGCGGACCAGCACACAGCACCGGCAGAGCATGGGCGACCTGGGCAACCTGCTGCTCAGCCTGAAGGCGACCATGCGACGCTGTGTGAGTGGGGCTCAGCATCGCGGGGTG